TATGTTTTTCCATTAGTGATTGTGTTCAGTTTCTGTCCTTGTGTGTAGATGAGATAAAAAGGCTGTTAGAGTGGCAGATGATGGCTGTTTGAGTCCAAGTAGTTAGCTCTGAGTTTTACTTTTTAGAGTTCTGTTTATTGTTTGTCAGGTTAATTTTGTATATTCTCAGGTACAAGTTAATTTAGTTGAATTTAGTGATAGTTTTTCTTTGTAATTAAATATTATTGTTTGAATTATATATTTATAGAATTCAGTTGGATGAATTTATTTCTCTATAATATGATAGTTTATTTGTGGGAAACAAAAAGGTATCTATATTGTTATGAATGATTGATGTTTGCTTGAATTATATTCCCAGAAAATCCTCATCTATTCTGTTTTAATTGTGCATGCAGTTGGAACGCGAAGTAGACAAGGCCTTCTGTGAGATGCCCGTAATTATTGAGATGTTCAAACCCTTTAGTGAAGCTTACATGAGGAGAATAAATGAAGAGAGTTTAGATTTAGAGATAGGTGTAATTGATGAGGTATATATGATCGATGATCTTTAATTTATGCACTTTCTATTAATAGCAATTACAATTAAATGCTACAAACATTTTATTTCATGTATTTGCCTTAATTTTTTTTTTTTTTATCTTAATTTGTTTTTTGTTTGTCAAATGAAGGGTATTGAAGATCAAGAGACGAAGGAAGAGTTAATGAAGATTGATGAAGATTTGATGGTACGATATTATCTGTGCCTTACTTTCTTTTCTTTTTGGGTTTTACCTAAACTCCTAAAAAATACCAAATAAAGTATCTTTAAAATCCAAACATAATATCCAACATAATGTAACATATGTTCAGCTTATCTTTAAATAAATAAATAAATAACTTTAAAATAACTAGTGATACTTACCCTGCTATGCAAAGGATTTTGGATTAAATTTTGGTCAAGAATTTTATTTTATATTTTTTTAATCTAGAGTTTTGAACAATTGGAGCATTCTTTAGTTGAGTGATAGATTTAAAAAATGAAATGAATTGTGTACTTCAAAATCACCTATTTTAAATTATTAAATTAGGAACATTTGTATCAATAAGTTGGAAAATTTTGATCAATCTACATTCTAAATAGCCATTTGGTGTTGATGTTGAAATATATAAACTTATAAATTAATATATATTTCTAGTAGAAAACAAATTTGAAGAAATCTAACTAATGTTGAAAAAAAAAGGTCGCATGTGATATAAAACTTTTTGATTTACCATTACAAGCATTTACAATTCAAAAACAAAAATTAAAGGTACTGACAAAATTCAGCTATGGATACGTTAACGAAGGATTCACAACCAAAGAGCATAATAAATAGTCTAACATGTTGATACTTAAAACATGTAAATTAGTTCCTACTTTGCGTTGGAGGGGTCGGAGTATAGTTTGCGGGGTTCTGTTTACTCTTTTTTCTTTTTCTTTTTTTTAAAATTTTTTTCCTTTTTGGTACATTAGAGGGTTAGTTGCCTGGCATGGTAGAGATTTAAACCTTGAGTTTGACTGCAAATCAAGGGTTTTTAGTTAGTGGTTACCAACTCGGCCAAGCTCTTGTCCGTGTCCTATTTGCTTGTCGTAAGGTTAATTTTGTATATTGTCAAGTACAAGTTAATTTTATATATTGTCAAGTACAAGTTAATTTAGTTGAATTTAGTGATATTTTTTCTTTATAAGTGAAGATTAATTTCTGTTTGAATTATATATTTGTAGGCCACATTCATTAGAAAATGGCAAGAACTGTTCGAGAAATTATCTGAGGGAACTACTGAGAAGTCCAAAGACATTTGTTTAAAGGTGTGATGATCTTTCTCCCGTTTTTCTTATCCTCAGCTTTTCTTTATGCACGAGTAATTCTATATATAAAAAATGCAGTAGACAAGATTGGACAATAAATTCTTACTTTCCTTTCCCTTGATTTATTATTTAACCATCTTTGATTCCATATTTTTCTCCCCGTCCTTTTTCTTCTCTTCTTCAGACAGTGGCGGCCCTGGCGGTCGTCCTGGTCCTCGTCTGTTTTCTGCTTCATTGGCTCCAGTCCTTTTCTGCTTTCTTCCCTTTGCCATTAATTCTTCCTTGTGACACAGACAATAGAAGGAAATTCACTAATTAGAGTTAGCTGATTTCAGTAAACAAGTAATACTTAAGCAGATCCAAGCCTTCCTTTGCTGGTTATAGAAAATTAAGAAAGATTTCATGCTAAGACAGTTGAAAAATTGAAGAAATAACAGGGAAAATGATGAAAAAACAACAAATTAAGCATGTGTATATTCAAATAATGATAATGAAAAGATCAATAGCTAACACACCTGAATCTCCACCAAGATATATTTGTAAGCCTAATTCATGGTTCGTACACAACAACTAATCATGTCCTAATTCATATGTTCAATTGCAGGTTAAGTATTCTTTTTTATTAAGCATATTTCTTGCATTAGCTTCAATCCAGAATTATATTTAACCAAGCAAATATTGATTTAAATTCAATTACAGCCACCAAAACCATCACTTATACTTACCAAGCCCAATACCATTTCTGGTAGAATCCCTTGGTTGAATCATTTTTAGTAACTAAACTCTGTTATTTAAAATATAATCAAACAAGGATGGGATGCTTAGATACTAAGTCACAGTAGAAAATCTTACAGGAATTTAAAAAGGAATTCATGTAAATGTCCAAAAATACCCTTTTACAGTGTTACTTTTACCGGGTTTTTTCGCCTCTTCATGCAAATTACCCAAGGCATGAAGGTTATT